GGGTCAGAGGCATTTCGGTTTCGGAATTTTCGGTTTTCAGAATGGTTAGGTTTTTTTTAGCCCAGGCATAGATCACTGACCCACATTTGGGCCTGGGGTCTAAAATATAATAAAAATTATAATAATAATAATTCATAGGTCTAGGTCGTGTTTCTCACTTTTGATCTTTTTTCATTCTTTGTATTTCTTTACCGTATTATTATTTATTATTACAGTATTGATATTATTATTAATTTTATTATTATATTTTATTATTATTATTATTATTATATTTTATTATTATTATTATTGTAATCATTATTATTTTATTTTGGTGTATAATTATTAAAAATTTTATTTACTATGAATAATTATTATTATTATAATATTATTACTATACATTTTCGCCCCCGGCCCCGATGTGGGTCAGTGATCTGTGCCTGGCTGGGCTAATAATCCCTGTAAAAAAAAAATAAAAAAATAATGCCCCACAAAACTTTTCGGTTTTAGAGCTTTCGGTTTTCGGAATTTCGATAAAGGGTTGTCAACCTGTATATCTCTTTGATGGTCACCCACCAGCGCCTCCTAACTAGATAATATAACCTAACAAATATCTCCATCATGCAAGTGTTTTATTTATTTATTTATTCTATTATTTACTCTTTTGTTTTTATGTCATTTTCCTGTTTGTTTTAAGTATTTACTTTTATTCTATGCAGTCATTACTTCTTTGGGGCTTCTTCTTTTTTCTTTATTCGTCTGCTTGTTCTCTCTCTCTCTCTCTCTCTGACCTGTCTGACTGTTTCTGTCTATCCTCTCTCTCTGACTGTCTGACTGTTTCTGTCTATCCTCTCTCTCCCTCTGACTGTCTCTGCTCATCCTCCTCTCTGACTGTCTGACTGTCTCTCTCTGTGCGTCTGTCTGTTCGTCTGTCTCATATACATACACCCTAGACAGGAAAAGCTTAACGTCATTGCAACACACATCATTATCATCCGTTATGTTTCTCACCCTCCCGTTACGTCTGTTCTCCCACTTCCTCTGTCCCTCTGTTCACCATTTGTCTACTTCCTCTTCAAGCTTCCCACAGTCGAGCAAAAGTTAGGATCAATACTATCAACATTATTTACCCTATTCTTTTATTTATTTTCCGTAACATTTATCGTTTCTCCCATTTATATTTTATTTACTTATCGTCGTCTGCTTGTCTCTACATAAAGCCCTAGGTCGAAGAAACGTCAATAGCGTAAATTAAGCATAACACAAGATTTGCCCAGCTAATTGATATTTTCACCTGTTGATTAATTACCCTACACTACCTAAGTTAGGTTGGGTTGGGTTAGGTTAAGTTTGTTAAATCTAGCAATAACTATACTCAGTTTATAAATAGTAACAGTGACATATATCTACGACATTATAAATATATGTTTAATTTGGCTTCTTTTTCCTGTTATAAGACCTGTAAGAACAGACTAAGCTGGTTAAGACCTGAACCAACCACGAGGATAAAATTACATTAGGAGACATATCTTTAGTATTAAATAAACATATGAACTATCAAGTCATCCTAAGAGAACATTGGAACATTTGGTGATACTGTAACTTGTAAACAATGTCTCGGATCATCCTCTGTAAACTTATCAAACGTCTACTGACATACACACCAATCTTATGACCTTCTCCGGTCTCTAGGTTCCACACAAACACTCGCCGGAAAGCCTGGACCATATGTGTGTGTAATAAATAATAATAATAATAATAATTAACGGTTTATTGAAGAGCTTGGCAGCAGAAGGCTGAAAATATGCAGTTACATATTTGGGGAATGGGTTACGAATTACAAATAATATACAAGTAACATGAGTGACACAAATAAGACATATAATAACTAGATGGGAAAGCTCAAACTACAGTTCATTTCAACATAGTGACAGTGTAAGGAGCAGTGTTTGCCTATAATACACTGATTTATTACGTTATTGATAATTTTACAATGGTTGGGACTGGGCTGTTCTTATAGCGATCAGTTCTGCACGTATGGGCTGGATGCGGTTGTGGTGTCGAACAGCAATTCTCGGACTAGGGATTACAGGTGGTAGTGGGACCGTGTCGGGGATGGTGTAGAAGCCTACCAAATTTGCAGATGAGGTCGTGGGGATGGTCAGTGAGAGTCGAAAGGGTCAGTGTGGAACTGGGCCAAGACCGACTGGGGAGCGGCACTCGGGGATTATGGCCAAGAAATATGGAAGATAAAGATGCGGCGGCAGCTGGCCGCCAGGGCACTCGCTACATGAGGCTATGTTGAAACCTGGTGGTGATGGTGACGTTGGTGTTGGTGATGGTTGGTATGGTGATTATAATGGTGGTGGTGGTATTGGGTGGCGGTGATACTTCTGTGGTGGTGATGGTGTTTTGTTCTCCTGGTGAGTGATGTTCTTGATGGTGTTGGTGAGCGTGTTGGAATTGGTGATGGTGTTTTGTGCTCCTGGTGATGATGGTGGTGATGTTCTTGATGGTGTTGGTGGTAGTGATATTAGTAGTGGTAGTGACGTGGTGGTGGTGGTGATGGTGGTGGTGGTGGTGATGGTGGTGGTGGGTAGTGCCTTTGACGTACTGTAGATCTTGGTTTCAAATATCACTCTCATTGTTTGACTGTCTATTTAGTTATCTAATATCTTTCTGTCTGTTTTTCTTATCTTTCTCTATCATCTCTTATCTTATTCCAATAGACAGTTCATTTAACATTTTTCGAATTATATAAATTACTAAAGATTTCTTTTATTCATTTTTCCATTTCAACAATTTCCATTATACCGGAAAAAAAATCATAGCGTAAGACAAAATAAATTTAACGATATTTACGAACATGAACAAGTAAAGATACAGGAAAACAAAGCACTAAAATTTTTAAAATACATTGTGAATTATTATTAAAGGTACAGGATTGAAATAAATTATATAAATATAATGAAACGTATCAATTCATTAACAGAAGTGTATAACAAGCAATGAAAATCAGTAAGATCTAAACTATAAGAATATAAATAATCTTAATACCTCCGTCCAAGGTTAATTAACTCCGACAGGTATAATAACTCAGTAAATAGCAGCAACAAGTTTATAATTCACAGTACCAACAAGATAATTCATACTTACGTAACACCGTCTCCTCCAATACTGACTTTGATGATACAGTGATAATCATAGTATGTTGACAGTCATCATTCGTTAGTACTTACACACACACACACACACACACACACACACACACACACACACACACACACACTTTATCAAAATAGATTTACAGACACAAGCCGGACTATATCTGGATCCTTCCTGGTGCACATAAGCATGCATAAGCCCTCCAGATGTGATCTCTAGACAGGTCTCAGGGCATGAGGTCTGGGTGTAGATGCTCTGGGTGTGGTCTCTGGAATTGTGGAATGCTCAGGTGTGGAGTGCTCTGGGTGTAGGTCTCGAGTGTGGGTCCAGGTGTGGGTCTCTGGGTGTGGGACTCCCGGTGTGGGTCTCAGGTGTGGGGTCTCTAGGTGTGGGTCTCCAGGTGTGGGTCTCTAGGGTGTGGGACTCCAGTGTGGGTCTTCCGTGTGGGGTCTCTGGAGTGTGGGTCTCAGGTGTGGAGTGGGTGTGGGTCTCAGGTGCATGGGTCTCTAGGTGTAGGTCTCCAGGTGGCAGGTCTCTGGGGTGTGGGTCTCCAGGTGTGGGTCTCCAGGCGCAGTGTCTAAGGTGTGGGGTCTCTAGTGTAGGTCTCCAGGTGTAGGTCTCTAGAGTGTAGGTCTCTCTAGGTGTAGAGACTCGGTGTGGGGTCTCCAGTGTGGAGTCTCTGCGTGTAGGTCTCCAGGTGTGGAGTGCTCAGGTGTGGGTGTCTGAGTGTGGAACACTGGGTGTGGGTCTCAGGTGTGGGTCTCTGGTGCAGGTCTCAGATGTGGGTCTCTAGGTGTAGGTCTCCAGGTGCTTGGGTCTCTGGGTGTGGGTCTCCAGGTGTGGGTCTCCAGGTGTAGAGTCTCTAGGTGTGGGACTCCCGGTGTGGGTCTCAGGTGTAGGTCTCTAGGTGTGGGAGTCTCCAGGTGTAGGTCTCTAAGGCCTTGGGACTCCCGGTGTGGGTCTCCAGGTGTGGAGTCTCTGGGTGTGGGGTCTCAGGTGTGTGGAGTCTCTGGGTGCAGCAGGTCTCAGGTGTGCAGGTCTCTGGTGGCCAGGTCTCCAGGTGTAGGTCTCTAGGTGGCAGGTCTCAGGTGTAGGTCTCCAGGTGCTTAGTGTCTGGGTGTGGGTCTCTAGGTGTACACGTCTCTAGGTGTGGTCTAGGTGTACGTCTCTGGGGAGTGTGGAGTCTCCCAGGTGTAGATGCTCTGAGTGTGGAGTCTCCAGGTGTAGGTCTCTAAGGTGTAGGTCTCCAGGTGTGGGTCTCAGGTGTAGGTGTCTAGTGTGGGTCTCTAGGTGTAGGTCTCCAGGGTGTAGGTCTCCAGGTGTGGAGTCTCTGGTGTGGGTCTCCAGGTGTGGAATTATTCTGGGTGTGGAGTCTCTGGGGCTGGGTCTCTGGGTGTGGAGTCTCCCAGGTGTAGGTGTCCAGGTGTGGGTCTCCAGGTGTAGGTCTCCAGGTGTGGTGTCTGAGTGTAGGTCTCTGGGTGTGGGTCTCCAGGTGTGGGTCTCCCAGTGCTGGGTCTCTAGGTGTGGGGTCTCAGGTGTAGGCCTCTAGGTGTAGAGTCTCTAAGATTTGTGGGTCTCCAGGTGTGGGGTGTCCCAGGTGTGAGTCTCCAGGTGTAGGTGTCTAGAGTGTAGGTGCTCAGGTAAGTCTCCAGGTGTAGGTGTCTGGGTGCTAGGTCTCTAGGTGTGGGTCTCTTGGTGTGGAGTCTCCAGGTGTAGGTGTCAGGGTGTAGGTCTCAGGTGTAGGTCTCAGGTGTAGGTGTCTAGGTGTGGAGTCTCTGGAGTGTGGAATGCTCCTAGGTGTGGGTCAGGTGAGCAGAATTCTCCAGGTGTAGGTCTCCCAGGTGTGGAGTCTCCAGGTATAGGTCTCTAGGTGTAGAGTCTCCAGAGTGTAGAGTCTCTAGGTGTAGGTCTCAAGGTGTAGGTCTCTAGGTGTAGGTCTCAGGTATGAGTCTCTAGGTGTGATCTCAGGTGTAGGTCTCTAGGTATAGGTCTCCAGGTGTGGGTCTCCATGTGTGGGTATACAGGTGTAGGTCTCTGGGTGTGGAGTCTCTGGGTAGGTCTCCAGGTGTAAGGTCTCCAGGTGTAGGTCTCCAAGGTGTGGGTCTCAGGTGTGGGTCTCTGGGTGTAGGTCTCTCAGGCCAGAGTCTCTGGAGTGTAGGTCTCCAGGTGTGGAGTCTCTAGGTGTGGGTCTCTAGGTGTGGGACTCCCGGTGTGAGCCTCCAGGTGTAGGTCTACCAAGGTGCAAGACCCTTGGAGTGTAGGTCTTTCTAGGTGGCATGGTCTCTAGGTGTAGGTCTCAGGTGTAGGTCTCAGGTGTAGGTCTCCAGGTGTGAAGTCTCCAGGTGTGGAGGTCTCAGGTGATCTCTAGGTGTGGGTCTCAGGTGTAGAGTGCTCCAGGTGCAGGTCTCTAGGTGTAGGTCTCAGGTGTGGGTCTCAGGTGTAGGTCTCCAGAGTGTGGGTCTCCAGTGTGGAGTCTCTGGGTGTGGGTCTCCACAGGTGTGGAATGCTCTGGGTGTAGGTCTCCAGGGTGTGAGTCTCTGGGTGTGGGTCTCTGGGTGCTGGGGACTCCCGGTGTGGGTCTCCAGGTGTGGGTCTCCAGGTGTGGAGTCTCAGGTGCTGGGTCTCTAGGTGTAGGTCTCTGGGTGTAGGAGTCTCCAGGTGTAGGTCTCTAGGTGTGGACTCCCAGTGTAGGTCTCAGGTGTAGGTCTCCAGGTGTAGGTCTCCAGGTGTAGCTGGAGTCTAGGTGTAGGTCTCTAGGTTTTAGGTCTCCAGGTGGATGCTATGTGTAGGTCTCAGGTGTGGGTCTCCAGGTGTAGGTCTCCAGGTGTGGGTCTCTAGGTGTAGGACTCCCCGGTGTGGTTCTCCAGGTGTAGGTCTCGGGTCTCTAGGTGTAGGACTCCCGGTGTGGGTCTCCAGGTGTAGGTCTCTGGGTGTGGAGTCTCCAGGTGTGGAGTCTCTGGGTGTGGGACTCCGGTGTGGGTCTCCAGGTGTAGGTCTCTAGGTGTAGGTCTCTAGGTGTAAGTCTCAGGTGTAGGTCTCTGGGTGTGGGTCTTCCAGGTGTGGTCTCCTAGGTGTAGGTCTCCAGGTGTAGTCTCCAGGTGTGGGTGTCTGGGTGTGGGTCTCCAGGTGTGGGTCTCCAGGTGTAGGTCTCCAGGTGTGGTCTCCAGGTGTGGGTCTCTGGGTGTGGCCAGGTGTGGGTCTCCAGGTGTGGGTCTCAGGTGTGGGTCTCTGGGTGTGGGTCTCCAGGTGTGGGTCTCAGGTGTGGGTCTCAGGTGTGGGTGTCTGGGTGTAGGTCTCTGGTGTGGGTCTCTGGGTGTGGGTCTCCAGGTGTGGGTCTCCAGTGGGTCTCAGGTGGAGTCTCCAGGTGTAGGTCTCAGGTGTGGGTCTCTAGGTGTAGGTCTCAGGGGGTGTCTGGGTGTGGGTCTCAGGTGTGGGACTCGGTGTAGGTCTCAGTGTAGGTCTCCAGGTGTAGGTCTCAGGTGTAGGTCTCTAGGTGTGGGTCTCTGGGTATGGGTCTCCAGGTGTGGGTCTCTGGGTGTAGGACTCCCGGTGTGGGTCTCAGGTGTGGGTCTCCAGGTGTGGGTCTCCAGGTGTGGGTCTCTAGGTGTAGGTCTCTGGTGTAGGTCTCCAGGTGTGGGTCTCTAGGTGTGGGTCTCAGGTGTAGGTCTCAGGTGTGGGTCTCCAGGTGTGGGTCTCTGGGTGTGGGACTCCCAGTGTGGGTCTCAGGTGTAGGTCTCTTGGTGTGGGTCTCCAGGTGTGGGTCTCTGGGTGTGGACTCAGTGTGGGTCTCAGGTGTGGGTTCAGGTGTGGGTCTCTGATGTGGGTGTCTGGGTGTGGGTCTCAGGTGGGGTCTCGTGTGGTCTCTGGGTGTGGGTCTCCAGGTGTGGGTCTCAGGTGTGGGTTCCAGGTGTAGGTCTCAGGTGTGGGTCTCTGGGTGTAGGTCTCTAGGTGTAGGTCTCTAGGTGTGGGTCTCCAGGTGTAGGTCTCAGGTGTAGGTCTCAGGTGTGGGTCTCTAGGTGTAGGTCTCAGGTGTAGGTCTCAGTGAGTCTCTGTGTGAGTCTCGTGTGGATCTCAGGTGTAGGTGTCTAGGTGTGGTCTCTGGGTGTAGGTTTCTAGGTGTGAGTCTCCAAGTGTAGGTGTCAGGTGCAGTCTCCAGGTGTAGGTCTCAGGTGTAGGTGTCTGGTGTAGGTCTCTAGGTGTAGGTCTCTAGGAGTAGGTCTCCAGGTGTAGGTGTCAGGTGTAGGTCTCCAGGTGTGGGTGTCTGGGTGTGGGTCTCCAGGTGTGGGTCTCAGGTGTAGGTGTCTGGGTGTAGGTCTCTGGGTAGGTCTCTGGGTGTGGGTCTCCAGGTGGGTGTCA